GAAGTAGAATGCTATCATTATCGTGGTCAAAATAATCGATAAAGTTAGCCACCAGTTCTTTAATTTTACTATGTGAATGTTTAAATACTGCGGTGAAAATCACTGAACACTTCAATTTTGTTCTGAAAAGAGCCGTTTTTTAGCTGAGAGCGAAAACCAAAACTGAATAACGAAGGGGGAAACTAGGAATGAAAAATTGGAATATCAACATCACGTGAGGGAGATCAAAGAGACTTCAGCGCATTTTTGTGTGGCAGATCGAAATCGGTATTCTATTAACCAATGTTAACTCGACCATCAATAATTCAATAAGATCTTGTTACCAGTTCTGACGCTCCCCACAGTCATACAAATGCGCCCTAAAGTCCCTCCACAAAACAATTCTCTCAATTTCTGGGGCACTTCTCAGAGCTCGAGCAACACTAGAAATGGAGACCGCAATTCGAGCTTTAAGAATCTTTAAACCGCGTGACAAAACGTACAGCGGAATGCAACTTTTGGGCACCCGAAGTCGACTACTCCTCGAAGACCCGCGCCTTGCAAAATGTGGTTTATGTCGCCCCTAGGAAAAAAACAAAATTCGTCACGCAGGTGTTGTGTGCGTTTACCAGATATTTCCAACGACACCAGTCAGACCAAAGCTGTAGAAGATGAGGAAAAAACTGAAAAATCACCTGATTAGTACACCACGCTCGGAGATGGCGCCCAGTTGTCTCCGACCTCCCTAAAGTCGTGCATTATACCGCTCGCTCGGTAGGTACACGTACACTCCTCTCCTTGTCTTGCTGCAAACGGTTTTTTTTGCTGCCGTTCAGCCAGCCAGCCGGCCGACGAGCCAAAGTGAGGTTAAAAGCTACCTTTTTACAAATAAATTTGCAAAAATGCGCTAAAAACTATTAATGTCAGGCGTAGTGAAAAATTTAAACAAGTTAAAAACGTGGGCACTCGCGACCGACGAAAGCGCATTTTCCCCGCACAGAATCAGTTATAATACTTCGGAAAGTAAATGAGTAATCCAAAAAAATCTTGTCGTTGTGGTCTCACGGCTGTGCTACACCGTATGAGGAAGAAACCACAACGAAAAAGCTTAAACTGGAGGACTGTAGTAGTACAGACGGACAGACGAACAAAGCGCGGATAATAGCGTTTTATTTTGGAAAATGCGCTAAAGTGTTTCTGGCGTGAGAGAACCTATGACACAAAGTGCTTGACCGAATGGTTGCGGACCAAGGTTAAACTAGGTACTGGCGGACTACTATAGCCAATAAATAGGAACGACTGAACGTAGAAATGAAACCAAAATACTAAAGAACATTACACAAAGTATGGCAATCACATTCTAATAAACACTCAAAGTGGTATCCTCGGAGGCATCTATAGCAGCATGTGGGAGAGCTTGCTCCTCTACTACTCTGGACGCCACATGCTGCATTATTGTGTCGCGTTAAGTTGACATTTTGGCAAATTACCCGTTGCGCACATGTTTCCTTGTCAAAATGACACTAATATGTGATAAATATAAATAAATTGTGTGCCCTATACGGTCTACACCTTTCCTGGAAAGGATTGTTTCACAGAATTTATAGGGAAGTGTGCAGGGTGTCCCATTTTCGACACTTTTCTATAAATTCTATGGCATATTCTATTGTATCTCTGTAATTGTTAGTGCTATTTAAGAAGTAACATAAGCTTTATGGAGTCTTTTTGTTCAAACTTTAAATGGTAAAATCAAAATTTCAAAACATTCGCTCGCGTGAGAGACAAAGTAAGTAGGTACACGGGGTCAAACAGTTATGGGCCTTAACCTCATTGTTTTACATAAAATGCTCTGTATATTTTACCAAAAGGATAGTATATTCCCATTTCAAAAATATACCCGAGTTAAAAATTTAAAAAAATATATTGTTTCAAAAAGACTTGATTTTAAAAAAGAATTAAAAAATTAAAGAATTGTTCAGATTTTTTTAATCATATCAACCTTTTTTAAATTTTTCAAGTCTTGTTTTAATCTTTTTGAATCCTTTAATTTGTTTGAATCACTTTTTTTAATCTTTTTTTAATACCATCCCTAATTTGTAAATTTGTTTAAGAGAGAATGTAATATAATTATATATTATAATATTATACTATCTTTTTAGATCATTTAAGAAAATATAGGGTTATTCTGAAATTAACAGTTTTTCGATTTTCCCCCGTATCTCTTAAGCGAGGGAGTATTTTAAATTTAGATTTTACCATTTTAAGTTTGTCTCAACAAAAAGCACAAGACACCTACACTTCTTGTTTGATAGCAATTACGGAGATAAAAAGTGTCAAAAATTGGACAACGTGTACAGGAACATGGTGGTTCAAATTCGTATTGGTGAGAGATACAGTGTAGGTTAAATGGGGGCAACGATATCCCCTTTTGATGTGACTAAAAAAACGCATTTGAAAATATCCGAGATATCATTGAAAAACTGAAAATGTCAAATTTCGTTTTCATTCACTTGAACGGCCGGAAATGCCTGTTAGCACCTTCTATTCGCTCTTTTTTTTGGAGAATCTAAATCATTTCCATAACACGCTAGATGTAGAAGCTGAAGTTGTACTTTCTTAATTCTTACGGGCGCCATCTTGGATTTTTACGGAGATCACAATGGTGAGCCACGATTTTAAACAACCCTATATATACATCACGATGTAAAATAATAAATGCGTGAACTACATATCTGAGTTTAAGCACAAAGTAATTCCAGTCTTAGGATCGATGCAAAAGCGGGGCAACGGAAAATATAGGGTCAACCATTGAATAATTATTCAATGGCTCAAGGCTCAACTCATATTTCCACTAGTGGTAATCTTATGGAGTTTTATCACCAAATCACAAGCACGCACTTTTATTTCAAAACGTAGGGCCTATGCAAATAGATACGAAAAAATGTAGGACTAAATTTGTTACAAAAAAAAATCCGCCGGGACATATCTATCTTCAACCGTTTCTGAATAATAAACTTTTAAATATGTTTTTCAGCACTGCACGATTTGCGTGGGTTTTGCGCCATCTGCAATTCACACGTGCCATTTTAGTGCATTTTTGCAAATTTATTTGTAAAAAGGTAGCGTTTAATCTTTAATCTCACTTTGGCCGGCTGGCTAGCTGGCTGACTGGCAGCAAATGCGAGCCTGTAGAAGAACGTTTGTAGAAAGACGCGGCGGAGTGTACATGTATTTACCGGGACCGGTGTAATTAACAAATTAACAATTTTAGGGATTGGGCTACATCGGGCTACATTCTGTGGGGTCGGCGACATCTGGGCGCCATCCCCCAGCGTGTTAGACTACCGTGGTGATTTTTCGGTTTTTTCCTATCCTCTTCTATACCTATACAGTTTTGGTCCGATTTTTTTTAAATTGATGTAGTGGGAAGTCGCAAGGCGCGCGTCTTCGAAAGGTAATCGACTGCGGGCGCCGCTGCGAATTTTGTCACGCGGTTTAAAGTTTCTTCAAGCTCAAATCGATGTCTCTCTTTCTCGTGTCGCTAATGGAAGCTAGAGCTATTAGAAGTGCCCCAAAAATTGAGTACTATTTTATGGGGGGTTTTTAGCATAATCCACTAAAATGCAAGTTGCGGGTGAACGAGACGTCGGAAGAGGGTACCGGCGAAGGGAATGTGATAGCCCTCAACAAGGTTTTACTGATGGTGAAGTCAAAATTTTAAACGCGAATAGCGGTTGAACAATGTCTTCTTTTCTTCCAACGCCACTTATATATCTATGAAACTACATCTCAATCTTAATCTGATTTATAACATTGACAGATACCAATGATATCACTGACATTGGACATGGTTCGTTGTTTGACATGGTGCTTAAACTTATACTTAGTCCAAGGATAAAATTAGGACAACCTAGAAATTACATATAAATTCCTTCGAACACAGAATTTAACCTATACCTCCAATTAATAAGAGGGTTAATTAGTAAATAATAATAAAACGGCAACGGTTTAGAAATATATTGGTACAAATACTCCAAATAAAGGGAATAGAAATCCTAAACGCACAAAGTATTCTCCAAAATTATAGAAATAGTGTTCAGTCTAGACACAAACCACTTCGAGAAATACGCAACATCCGGTTAATCGCCAGAACGTAATAAGATTTAAAAACTTCACAATTAAACAGACATTGAATTTATTAATACCGCAACGCTTAACGTGTCGACCAACAAAGGTGTTTGCAAGGAAAAGGAAACAAAAGATAATCTAACATACGTATTTCAATTCACCGTATGTACGAATAACAATTCGATATGATATAATATAATATAATATAATGATATAATTGAAAACTACAGTGACCCTCAAACAAATTAGAACCTAAATGTGTGTGAGAAAATCAGTGTATCTTGACACGTGCTTTTGTAGGAAATTTAGGCTTCCACAATTTATCTTCCATTACTATCATATTTATTTCGGTTTGCCATGCTTTTTGAAATAAATGCGCACTTACGTGATTTTCATAAAAAAATTCCACAAGGGTCCACTCCCTACCTACCTCCCACCCTCTTCAATAAATTCCTAATTCTATCCCCTCATCTGCCGGCTAAAGAAAAACAATCGCAAACGAGAGACTTTTACTGACTCGCGCTCTCCACAAAAATTTCACGACCCGATCTTTATCACACCATTTATGAGACACACGCCGCCCCAACTTTTTACTTTCATGTGTCCAACCGAAATGCACTGTTGCACAATATGATTCAATTGCTATGGTTAGGTTAGGTACAATTTATTATTTTAGCACAATAATTGTTTCCATGGTAATTTCTACCAGCTTGGCTAAACCTATTGCTTATAATCGTGTATTACCTCGACTATGACATGATTTGTTTCATCCATGTCCAGTTTGGAAATGTATTGTTTCAGTAATCCAATTTCAGGAAGCACTTTTTTTTTTCTCCAATAAGCCTTAATTTAGAACTTGTCAGTCTTTTTGCAAACAAACCTGTAACTTTCAGATTCTGCCTTTACGGAAAGGATACTCGGAATGCCAGCTGAAAATTACAAGGGCTACGTGGAAGCGGATGCAACGCAGAGAGCTAAAAATATACCATCCAAGTCTATGTTTGTAATCCATGGGCTTGCCGATATTACAACGCCGTTCGAACATGGGATATCTTTAGCGAGGGCTCTTACCGAAGCGGGTGTTCTTTTTAGATATAATGTAAGTGTCGAATCACTTCGAGAGCCCCATGTGATGAACTCACGTTTCAGAGCTACGCTGATGAAGGTCATGACCTAGTAGGTGTCATAAGACACGTCTATCAGTCCATGGAGGACTTTTTCCAGGAGTGCCTTAGTCTAGATACGGACGACCCCAAGGCTTCTCCTGATACCTGAAGTTTAGCAAGGCACGTGTTACATCACGTGACCGCCTTCGAAAAACTCCATAATCATAGCCACCACGCAACACGC